AAACAAAGGTCACCCCTACATCGCCTGAGGATAAAACACTCCTCTGTTGAAAGTTATAAGAAGTACTATAAAATGAATACTATTGTAAATCATGACTGGCATATTTAAAGGTGCTATCAATGTTATTCTACTGAGATGGCCTTTATGATAAGCCTGCTGTACTTTGATCAAAATAAAATAAAAGCATGTGTTACATAAAGACACATAAAAGACTAAATATCCTACAGTATAACCGCGTTTGGATTAAAAATATAACTTTCAAAAGACCAAAAACACCCTACTTATTCATTACATGGGCAATGCTGCCTTCAGGGGCTGTTGTAAATACAGCGGCTGTGATTAGACATGAAATTCAATGACGTAAGAAAGGGGTAGGGTTGGAGTAAGAAAAAGAAACAAAACCACGCTCGTAAAATTCTCAATCATAAGTCAAAGGCGTGCATTTAAAGTGATTAAAAGTCCATTATTATAATTAGAAAAGTTGACTCAATATATCAAAAGTGAAAGTGCTCCATGTAGCAAATGATCCATGGGAGTATTATGCTATAAATAATTTTTACACATAGAATGCACAGAGTGACTTCGTGCAGTTTTCACATTAAAAAATACCGCCACAACACAAACAAGGTTGTGTTATATCTCGTTGCTGCACCCGGTTCTTGAACGCAGCACAGCCCCGCAGCCTGAATGAACAGGCTGTAATGATGATACAGTACTTCCAGGATGACAGCAGCAGCTGCTGTGGGCGGGGCGAGGCGGGACCGAGACGAGGAAGACGAGGGCGACGTGACTGTTTGTTGTAAACGCATGTCAACGTGGTGCTCGTCTTAATCCGCTGACGTACAAGGAGTCATACCTTGGGGACAACTCCTTACTCAGGACAAAACGGCATGAGTTGTACAGTCAGCTAAAAATATAATCTACTGTACCTCCAAGAAAAATCAACACAGCGAAGCCTATTATGTGTCATATATTTTACATTATTTAATGGATTTTACATTAAACTTGATTTAAGGTATCTGTATTCCTCCGTGGTGTAAAGCAACACAAGTTACTTATTTAGGCTATTACTTTTATTCTTGTACTCTACTCCATAATTCAGAGGGAAATTATTTTATCTTTTTACACACAAAACACATGGTCAGTTTAAGATAGCCTATATGATGCAATATTCTGTTTTTTTGTTGTTGTTTTACAGGAAACATGGTCAACTTAAAATATATGATACAATATTCTGTTTTTTGGGGTTTTAATTTTATTTATTTTTTTACACAAAACACGGTCAGCTTAAAAAATATGTATTATTCGGTTTTGTTTTTGTTTTTTTACACGAAACATGGTCAACTTAAAAAATATGATGTAATATTCTGTTTTTTGTTGTTTTTTTGTTGTTGTTTTTTTTTTACATGAAACACAGTCAACTTAAAATACCTGATGCAATATTCTGCTTTTTTTTTCTTTTGTTGGTTCGTTGTTTATTTTTACATGAAACATGGTCGACTTAAAATATGATGCAATATTCTGTTTTGTTGTTGTTGTTGTTTTGTTGTTTTTTTGACACAAAACATGGTCAACTTAAAATACATGATGCAATATTTTTTTTTGTTGTTGTTTTTGACACAAAACATGATCAGCTTAAAATATATGATGCAATATTCATTTTTTTTTGTTGTTTTGTTTATTTTTACACGAAACATGGTCAGCTTAAAATATATGATGCAATATTCAGTTTTTTTGTTTGTTTTTTTACAGGAAACATGGACAACTTAGAATATATGATGCAATTTTCTGTTTTTTTTTGTTGTTTTTTTACACAAAACATGATCAATTTGAAATATACGATGCAATATTTTTTTACACACACAGAGCATATAGTCAATTTAAAATACATGATGCAGTGTTAGGTTAAACCACTCGACAATATATAAAGTAAATATAATAGAAATAACTACGTAACATAATAGTATAACATTGACAGAGGTCATGATGCTGCGTATTGAGTACTTTTACTTTTGATGCTTAACATTCATTTTGCTGACAAAACTTCCATACTTTTACCTCAGTCATATTTAACTACGAAACGTTTACTTGTAATTGAGGGTCCTTATGATGGGGTTTTGCTGAGTAAAGGATCCAAATACTTGCACAACGCATTTCTGTAATCTTCCGCCCATATTCCCAAAGGTATATGATCCAAACATTCAATTGTACTGTTTCTTTTAGTATTTCTTAATACTAATAGTAGTACAAAGTACAACATTCAGTTACAATGGCAGTAATGACAGTTTGCTCATTACTCGAGAGACTCCACAGACAAATGGGAGGAAATGGAAGTCTGAGTGCTAATATTAGTGCATTTGTCCTCAGTGCAGCAGGTTTCCATGGTGTCTCCGGGCCTACATGTAAACAAGCTGGAGAAGAACTGTCCAGGGATTAGCCTGAGACCTGCACGCATATTTACATGTGCATACAGTAGGTCATGCAAAGAGGCAAGAACCAGAACACAATTTGGTCAAATCTTATTTGAATGGAGAGGAGAGGCATATTTTGGTTCAGAGGTGAGGACTAACATCAGAACTACACAGCTGGGCTAAGGTTTAACTTAAGTTGAGGATTTCTGTGACCAATTTACAAACAGAGCAACATACATACAGAGACTCACACAGGGTGAGGTCAGGAAATCTGTGACATCCAGAGCAATACCAGCCTGTACAGCAAATACAGTGAGGATCCTCCATACAATACAGCATTCAGGGGGATTAATGCTTGAACCAGTTTACTCAATCAGTAAACACAAACCAGCAACTGAGGTTAATCCTTAACTGTGGACAGACAAGACAGAGAGGCGAGCTCCAGTTTACTCTGATTGTGAAATGAAAGGAAATCTCATCCGCTCAATCATCTGGTGTCATTTTCATCAACACTTCTATGTAAAATCTGGAGTTTTTAAACATTCAAAACAAAGTAGTTCTGTGTCTAGCGAAGGCCTCATTCATCCCAGGATATGACTTTATATAATGTCCCTAAAGAAGCTGCTCTGAGGGATGAATAGTGTTGTGTACATTACACAAAAACATAAAGACCAGAGTACAGATGAGAAAAAATGAGTTAAGAAAAGAAAAGAGAAGTGTTTTCTTTCTTCCATCCCTGTGTGTCACTCAGTCAGTCACATGCTGAGCCCTTCTGTCTGACTGCCAGGCTCTGCTCTCTGAGTGTAATCTCTATTGACCAGTCAGCACAGGGAGGGAGGGGAAAAAAAGATGGAGGGCTGCGTCGCAATCTAGGTCGTCCACCAGTAATCCCACAGGGTGGAACTATGTCGTGGGCATACAATGCCAAATGCTGAGCTCACCCAACTCCTCTTTCCTTGCCCTCCGTCCAGCCAAGGTCTTGTCTCATGACAGACCTCTATCAGTTTGCTTTTGACCACAAGACTCACATGTTCTGATGTTTATCTGTAGGAAATTCCTGACCTTGATAAGGCTGTCAAGGAGGGGGATGACATGAATAGGAGTGAACATCAAAACTTGACCTCAGATCACTACGCCTATTAAGTCATTTGCTTCATGACACCGAGACACACAGCATTTTAAGTGTGGAAACACCACATGATTGCAGCCTATTTACTGCCAATGAGCTGTGTTAACAAGATTCAACATGGTGGAGAATTTGCACTGTATCATCTTATTAACATTATGTTATGGTATGTGGGCAGTGGCAGATCTCCCTGGAGGCGACATTTCAAATCACTCACTGGAGTATAAGAGAAAAAATGATTCAAGGAAACAAACAAACAAAAGAAATAAGAACTTTTTTTTATCTCTATTTTTGTTGTTTACACAAGCTCACATTCTTGTTTGTAATAAATACAGTCAAATAAATTTGATTAAAAATCAGGTTGGGGGTTGGGAGTGCCAGGGGAAGCTTGGCTAGGGCGCCCAATGTGAGACGTGTGCTAGGTCTGGCACTGTATGTAAGGAGTGGCTAATGATTTAAATCTATTACCTCCAAGTGGAGCGTCAGCCCATTTAAACTCTATCTAATGTTTGACTTTGAATCAGAACAACTGGACAAACTTTGATGTTATTCAGTCGTTTGACTTGCTGGACAACATTTCACCAAACGAGGTGCATCTATTCAGTCTGACGTGATTTTTCTTCCAGTGTCCCTGGCTTTAAACATCGCAGGTAATCCCTGGCATTTACACACTACTAATTGTCTTCCTTAGCTCTTGCCACTAAGCTTGTCTCGCCAGCGTTCATGACTTCCTAGTGACCTGGCAGCGAGACATGTTGATGGAGAGTGAGAGACACTCTGCACTGCTTGACCTCCCACTCTTGTCCAGGAGTGCTTGTACTCTGTGAAAGTGTGTCAGTACAATATGTGAAGAGCTACTGTGCAGGCAGAAGTTTTTTTTGCCGTCATAATCCCTGACTCTGGGCCTTTGTATCCTGACTAAATCCTATACTGTATGGCTGAATGGTCAGCTAACGTGATTCCATCCCACATAGTCAAACTGCATTTCAGTATCAAGGTATTTGATGCTCTTGCTAAAGGGACGGAAACATTTCTAATGAATGACTACGCAATACTGGCCTCCTGTTGGTTAGTGTGGTTAACCTCAATGTGGATCTTACCAAAGATGTTCAGACTAAGTAGGTCAAGACAATGTACACTGCAGTGCAGATGTACTGCAAATAGAAAAGCAAACAGATGTCAGTCATTAGATGTTTACACACGATAACCTTGTCACGGTCAGTCAACTCAGTATTATGTCAGCCACTAAAAAAAGGGACTGCAGCCTCAGGAAAGGGGTTAAAGTTCAAATTTGACAACAAAATCGACATGTATGGATCATATGATTTGTAGTTTTTGTCGTGGTTAATCATGGCGTGCACCTCTGGATGGTGGAAACTCATCACACCCTGAACATGGCATGACTTTCATGTGAGTTAAGGAGGAGTAAGTAAGTTCATAGACAAATATAATGATGATTATGATTTTTTTTAAAAGTCACATGTAAGCACCAGGATACAGAAGAAACACTTTTAATCATGCTGAGTTTGACATGTGGGTTGTTATATTTCAAGCTGAACTTTAAAACACTATGCTGCCCTCTTGTGGTCAGATACTGATCTCAAACACAAAAGACACTAAAAAAAATATATATATATATAAAATGTCCCATTGAGTGTATTACACACTGCATATAAAAAAGGTACAGCTTCAGGAGATTTTAACCACGAATTATCTGCCTATACACACATATATAAAATATGACACACATGAGACCAAGTATGGGCCTTGTGTGATTTGAAAGCGTGTCTGATTTTAAAGAAGGAACTCTCTGAAGTGTACAGTCAAAAACATATAGAATATAAAAGTGCAATTTGTAAGTAGGAAAAATACTTTCACAAACGAAACCTGAGAGCATCATGGGTAAATGCTGGTACAGAGTAAGTGATGTAACCGCTGTGTGGGCTGGTGAAATAAGGAGCAGCACTGGCTCTTGTGCAGACAGGGAATGAGGACTGAGAGCACACATGCATCCTCTTGATGGGCTGAGCAGCTCCATTAGCAGTGAGTCCACGGTGTGTGCTGCCCCCTGCTGAGCAGATGGGGGAACTTCCAGCTGAAGCTTGAAGGAGGAGAGGCTCCTCAGAGTCCCAGCTGAAGCTCCTCTTTGTCCCATGTGGTCTGTGTGTGGAGCGAGGCTGCTGCTCCGCTCTGACCGGCACTCTGCACAGAGGAGAAGCTCTGGAGGCCTGAGCAGAGGGACTGTCTCTCTTCAGGAGGGATTCAATGGAGAAAGGACTGCTGAACTTCACCTCACATTTGACCTGAACAGCTCTGCAGGCTGCAGGTTCAGGAGAGTGGAGAGCTGAGCAGCGCTCTGATGGTCTGCTGGTGTTCTCCTTCTCCACTTTGGAGGCCATCTCAGGGAAGAGGATCAGGATGCCTTTGAAGTGACGACGCACCATCTTTGCTGTGATCTGACTGTGGTCCAGTTTCCAGTAGTTTCTCTTACTGTCCAGAGAATCTGGGACCACTGGAATCTGAAAAACACAACACAGGGGTTTTAGAGACAGAGGTTAAGTTGTTCATTAAAATAATTTGTTGTGTTCATTTGAAATATTAAAGATTGAGAATGTAAACTCACCTTGACAAAACATTTGTTGCTTGATAAACAGACTCTGATGTTGTTCTCAACAGATTTTCTGTCTTCAGAGATTAATGGTGCCAGTCTGTCCATCAACTGGAAAACATCAAGTTGAGGTTTTAAAATGACAATTAGTTTGCCATATGACATACTTCTTAAACATGGTCATTAAAAACAACTTGACTCTTTCTTACCTGTGTGAAAGTGAGCATCTTGGCTGGAGCGTCTTGGAGGACGACAGCGATCTTAGCCAGGTAGGTGGTGCTCTTCCTGAGCAGACCTCGCTGAGAGCTGCTGGCTGGAGCAAAGAGAGGCAGCTGAGCTCCAAACTTCTCAGTCCTGTTCTGCATCTTGTTTGTTGGAGAATCACAGGAGTCAGGTCCCACACACACACACAGAGTAGTGAGAGCAAATGTGGGCCTGAAGTGTTCAGCTCTGGGTATAAGTCCTGCTGGGACAATAGGACATTAGAGGGTGTGCACTGCAGGTTAATGAGGACCTATTGATGAGTCGATGAGCCATTACTGCTGGAGGAGGAGCCAGTGATCACATTAATAGTCTGTTTCCAAAAGTTCATCAACATGTCTATGAGGATGTTCTGTGAGTCTGATCTGCCTCTTTGTCCACATTAGCAGTTAAAGTATATCCAAACTTTAAATAAGTTAATGTCTAAAAGTAAAGTCTGTCACTGCTTACACATTAAAGGAATACAGAACACCCAAAACATCATTTGTATATCAATCCTGCATCCGCTTCCAGCATGCTCCCAGTGAACGAAGAATCCAAAAACTGGAAAAAAAAAAAATCATGAATTGGAGTAAAAGGGGGGCGTGTTTCACAGCAGCTAAACTCTTTTGAAACATCCATTTACAAACTCTCCCACAAGTCATGTAGTATGATCTAAACCTCATTTAACCCACCTGTCCTATTTAAATGTCTTAATTAGTAAGATTTTAGAAAAAAAACATGTGTTTGGGCAGTGATGAGCATATGACTGGATAAATAAGACTTGGATTAAATTGCACAAGTTGTGCGAGAGTTAGTAAACAAATCATTTGATATAGTTTTGTTGTTGTAAAACCTGGCCCCCTTTTACTCCAATCCATTAAGAATTATCTCAGTTTTTTGGATTATTTGTTCACTGTGGAGACGTGAGAAAAACACTATTCCTCCCAAAATTCAGCATAACATGGGGTGCTATAATTAATATACAAATGATCTTTGGGGGCTATAGTATTCCTTTAATATTAGAAACTTTTATTTAATGGAAGACCTTCTGTTGAGGCCTCAAGGTAACACACCATGTACAAAAAAAATACATTTACTATTATTAAATTGGAAGGTTTTATCAAAAGCAATGTAAAAATAAAGTACAGTCCAAGCCACGGTAAATCATCAAACTACTTTCAAAATTTACCCAAAAATACATAAAGTATTGTCAACTTTTGAAGCTTTAGTGACAGTGTTTATATAAAGCCAACAAATTCTAAAAACCCATCATTAAAAATAGTGAATAATTTGCATTTCTAGATGTATTTCAGGGGTTCACTACTCATAAAAGTGAACTCAAATGAAAGTGTTTTAGTGAAATGTACAATACTCACATTGAAGTTGTTTTCACAGCGGAGCAGCAGACAAACTATCTGCAGGTGTGTGTTGTTCCTCCTTTAATCTGTGACACGTGGAAATTTTAACTCCAGTAATTATTACATAAACTTGAAACAATCACGTTCCATCTTACACTGTCTCCAACTGTTTTTCTTGACGTTGCAATTCAACCTCTCAAAGGCTGGTCTGACAATACACAACACACGGCTGAGTGACACTGACATTCCAATGAGCAATCTAATCACATTCCAGCAGTTTGCACATCCCTAATCGCTCCTTTAGTCAAACCTATTATTGCCCTTTGTCCCAGACAGTGACGAAGGTCATTTACATCAGTGATCCTCATTCAGATGCATTAACACATTACCTGTGCTGAATGCTTTGAAACAAGTTTGGAAGATGACTCCAATGGAGAGCTGTGAGTCTGCAGAGCAGCTGATTTCACTTGGGTTTGATTGAATCTGTGCTGCTCCAGCTGCTCTGGGGTCAGTTCCAAGAAGCAGGTTGGGTAAAGTGTGTGGATTTCAAGTTGTAAGATATCTGAAGGTAGTTAGAATTAAAACGTTGCTTTTGCATTAATCATAATAAAAACTGAATGACTGAGACCACCCAAGGGTGTTGACAGGCAGTTACCACACCCTCATCTGAGATGCAGAGAAACCATTCACTGAACATGAAACAGGTGAGTAGCAAGTGGCAGATGAGAATAGTGGAGCGGGATTGTGACTGCAGTGAGGCCCCCAGGGGACCCTTTGAGACATGACAGAGGATGTGACAGAAAAAACGGACGGAGGGTGAGGCACAGAATACTATAACAAACGGGCGTGCAGGACAGAGAACTGTTTACAGATGTATGACTGGAATGAGGAGTGTTTGAGGTGTGGTCCTGCTCCCAAAACAAACTGGACCCAATGTTCACCCATTATAATAGCTGTGTCCCTCAGGAATCACCGTATGCCTTATGTTAATTGAAGAGAAGCTGATAATTAAATGTGTTGACATTTTAATTGCATGTTCTTCAAACCAGAGTTCATTTAAGTTCGTTGGTCACATACACCCTAATTTGATCTCAAGAGCCAAAGCAGTAAAACCATTACATAATAACCTATAAATAACAACAACTTCTAATTGTTCCCTTCCTTTAAGTGTAAAGAAGTACACTCTGAAACATTCCTATGGTTACATAACAGATAAACAGCCTGAGATGTGTTTGGAAAAATAAGCACAATTTAAGAAAAAAGTCTCAGTTTTTTCACTTTCATTACTCGTGCATTTCTCCATACATTTCCACTCCTCTGTAGTAATGCTGACAACTGACACACCAACCTAAAGTGGAAGCTGTTGAGCAAGCAGGTGAAGTTACCCCCTGCCTTGCTTTGCCAGTGGGGTTCCACCATTATTGTTTAAAGATACAGACTCTTTTGTCTTTTGTGCTGAAGCTGCTGCACAATATTTTTTAAATATGACCACAGTAATATTCACTGTGTTTTCATGGAGCTGTATTCTCACTGTTTAACTTGCTCCTGAATCCTGTTAGACTTCACAAGTGCATCAATGTTATCATAGGGGGATTATGAGACAATTGCCCCTTGGGCCTGGACTTATACATAGTCTTATAGACAAACACTTACTGAAATAATATCATCATAGTTTGTTTCTTGTGTCATCTTCAGGGTGATTGTTTATGCCGGTCCTTCAAGTTTTCTTATGTAGGACTTTTGGGACTCTGTTTTGGACAAGAATGACAAAGTGATTTGACAACTATACTCTAGTCTAGACCGTGACCTTTTCTTTCCAAAGCAGCCAGTTGACTGGTTCTGAATTCTGGCAAGGCATTTTGACCATCATCTCGTGTTAGCATATAGAGTGTATGTCTAACAAGAGCTCAGCAAGCAGTACATATATTTCACGTGGTCAAAATGATGAGCAGATTGCACTTTTATCTGGAAATCAAAACCTCACACAGTGTACTGCAAAACATGTTTACTGTGTGTTATTGAAATACTTTGGCTATCTTCACACAGAGTTGAGCTGAATGTGAATGAAGCTCAGACGAGGTGTAAATCACTGGAATGTGACCAAAGACTTACATCCCACTCAAAGCCATTGTGTTTGATGTATTCAGCCATTTAAACTGTTACATTCCAGCGCTTACTACAGCCTTTGTCTGTCACGGGGGTTTACCTGTTTGTGAAAGGGCACACTGTTGTAGTTTAATCCCTAAATATTTGTCATGTACTCTTTCAATTATCTCTGTGCACAATATTAGAGAGAGTCAAAATATTGCTTGAGAAATTAAAAGCTCAGTCCATGAAAAACAGCTTTTACTGATCTAAGTGGTTTTTAGTTCATTAAAAGGGCAAATATTAGACTAAGTAGGTTGCCAGATCTTGCCAGTATCCCTGAAACTCTGAAACTAATCACACAAGGATCACCTTTTCCCAAGAAGACATGTTGATTTGACTTCTACATCTCATCTGACCCTCAGCTTGACTCAAGAAAACAAGAATAATTCTACATTTTCTAGACAAATTGTTCAACAAAAAGCATTAATTCTTGGTGGTGTTGTTGTACTTGATAATGGTCTTTAACATCTTCCTGTCTTGGACTCAACCGCATTTTTACTTGGTCTTGTCTCAGTCTCTGACAAGGACAACTCTGGAGTTCCTCAATGATCGTGATCGGCGATCACTTAAACGTTTGGTGAGATCAAATCGAAGAAAAATAATTGTAGAACTCAGGGCTATGTTTAATAGTGAAAGTAAGAGCATTTCCACACGCACAATGCGAAGGGAACTCAAGGGATTGGGACTGAACAGCTGTGTAGCCTTAAGAAAACCACTAATCAGTGAGGCTAACCGAAAAAAAAGGCTTCAATTTGCTAGGGAGCATAAAGATTGGACTCTGGAGCAATGGAAGAAGGTCATGTGGTCTGATGAGTCCAGATTTACCCTGTTCCAGAGTGATGGGCGCATCAGGGTAAGAAGAGAGGCAGATGAAGTGATGCACCCATCATGCCTAGTGCCTACTGTACAAGCCTGTGGGGGCAGTGTTATGATCTGGGGTTGCTGCAGTTGGTCAGGTCTAGGTTCAGCAACAGTATGTGCTCAAAGAATGAGGTCAGCTGACTACCTGAATATACTGAATGACCAGGTTATTCCATCAATGGATTTTTTCTTCCCTGATGGCACGGGCATATTCCAAGATGACAATGCCAGGATTCATCGGGCTCAAATTGTGAAAGACTGGTTCAGGGAGCATGAGACATCATTTTCACACATGGATTGGCCACCACAGAGTCCAGACCTTAACCCCATTGAGAATCTTTGGGATGTGCTGGAGAAGGCTTTGCGCAGCGGTCAGACTCTACCATCATCAATGCAAGATCTTGGTGAAAAATTAATGCAACACTGGATGGAAATAAATCTTGTGACATTGCAGAAGCTTATCGAAACAATGCCACAGCGAATGCGTGCCGTAATCAAAGCTAAAGGCGGTCCAATGAAATATTAGAGTGTATGACCTTTTTTTTGGTGGTGACTTTTTTTTTGGCCAGGTAGTGTATGTATGGATAGAAAATTCAGTTATATTACAAAATAATATCTCTCAAAGACAGAAATTCAGATGGGCCCCTATAGATAGGGGACACATACACACACTAGAGTGTGGCTACCCGATCCGAGCCCGACAGGTCCCGATGGTAGGCCTACCCTACGGGTCGGGCCGGGTTCGGTCAAAAATGTATAAATTGTATTCGGGCTCGGGTCGGATTGGGTCAGCTTTCAGTGAACATGTAGTGTAAAAATAAATAAAATCCTATTGTCTGTCCTGTTTATTGCTTTGGGACTGTTATTTAGCCTATGTGACAACACCTGAACAGAACACACGCACACATTGGCTGTTTGTTTCTACCTCTCCCCTCGCTGGAAGCCTTTGACCTTCTGCCGCCCACCTCCGCCTTGATTAAATGCTGAAAATAAAATAAAAGAGGGAGACAAGTTTTCCTATTTTATCTTATTTTGTAATATTTCTCCCTCTCCCCTCACTGGAAGCCTCGGACCTCCCACTGCCCGCTCCCGTCTCAAACACGGAGGTCTCCCTCTCCGCAGAGCACCCATGGCGCACGCCCGGCCTGTTAAATAGCCTGTAACCATAACAACTGTGTGACACAAACTCAGTGCTTTAGTAATTAAATAATGTCGGGCTCGGTTCGATTTCGGACATAACAAAACAGAATGACTGTCGGGTTCGGACAGGACGTGAAAAGTGGACATGTCCGGGCAAAAGAGGACGTTTGGTCAGCCTATATGCTAATGGTGAAAAACAACAAAAACAATCATAACTCCTGAACCAGACAACATACAAAGACACAGGAACCCACTTTTTCATATAATTTGGACACCAGGAATCAAATGGAAACATCACTGACATGCTACAACCAAAAAAACAAAAACAGGCAAATGTCACATTTTAGGCTCACAGCAGTATAACATCTGCCATTCTGTTTCGCAGTTATTTCCTGCAATAGCCAAATGTAGCTATGTTATTAAAACTGATGAGGTCTATGACACCATGATGAGGACCTCAAATCAGACCAGGTGCCTGATGGAGTGTGAATAATGCTGTTGAGTGTCAAGTGCAGCTTATGTTTAATAAGCTTTGAAGTTTCACAATCTTACTCATAGGCTATATAATATCACAGCTTTGTTTAATGCAGTTACCTGAAGTAGTTCTGACTATCACATGTAAAGAACAAGTCCACCATGTCCCTATTGTCCTTAAGAGAGAGCACCAGGTCAGTGGTGTTCACAGAGAAGAGTCTGCGGTCCATGACAGACCACAAGAATACCGCTTTCCTGCCAAGATGATACATGCAGACCTTGTCTTGGTACTCCATATAATGCCTGCTGCATATGAGCTCCACAGGTGAGCAGATAAACCGTTGCTGAGGGGCTTGACAGGTTCCTCACATTTGTCTTGTCTGGTGCTCATGATTTTTTGTGTGAGAAGACTTGTCGGCTTGTGCTTTCTATAGGATTGGACCTCTGTAGAGCAGTGTCAAATGGCGGATCAGGTGGGTTTGTGTTTGTTTAACTGAATCAACTATGAGTAAAATAAGCAGATTAGAAAGTGGATAGTTGGACTTCTAGATCTCTGTGTTAATACTTGTCCTTTTATGTGTTTGTTTCTTGCAGCAGTTCCCCCAGATCTGATGTGTGTAGACTTGTGTTGAACTTGGTAGTGTTTTAATTTTGGAAGTATTAGTTTTGAGTGCTGTTGCTCTCTTCTTAATAAAGTTTTTTTATGGACTTATCTGTCCTAACAGATTTCTTATATACTGAAGGGCCCAGTTCATGCAAAATCACCTAACTCTGACAACAGAGGGGGTCCTACAATGGACACTGTACTGCCATCTCAAAGAAACAGGCCAGTTTCATCAAGGTGAAGAAAGTGCTTCTGTCACATCCAAATGTTCCGGCTATTCTACCCCGCTGTGCTGCACATCTCACTCCCCAGCAGACAGCCTGACAGGTGTGAGGATCCCCATTTGGCATAAGCCTTTGTGAATGGAAACATAAATAAGGGGGTTACCCCAGCTTCATAGATTAGGCTGAAAGGTAACCCATTTTGTCACTCTAACATTTTGTTAGTCCAGTGGCCAATATGTCTGCTTTGTCACAACCCTCTTGTTAATGTAAACATTCTATGTAAAACCTTATAAATGTTTTTATGTTAAAAAAATGACTTAGACTTGTATATTTTTTATCATTTGAGCGCAAAAATCTTACTTTGTAAAGTAACTAGTAACTGAAGTTATTGAATGATTGTAGTGGAGTAAAAAGTACAATATATCACTCTGAAGTATAGCGGAGTAGAAAGAAGTGGTGTGACATAATAATATTCAAGTGAAAGTACCTATAGATGCATTTAAGTACAGTATTAAAGTAAATGTACTGGGTTACATTCCATCTCTGTAAGAATCAGCAAGACAATTCATTTCTGAAGAGGAAATGTGATTTCCAACAACTTTTTGATTTTGTATTTATTTAACTTTATTTAATTTTCAGGGAGTAGTTGGAAAAGTATCTCCCCCAGTGTGAACAAAGTCTCAGAACATCCTCATAGACATGTTGATGAACTTTTGGAAACAGACTATTATTGTGATCACTGGCTCCTCCTCCAGCAGTAATGGCTCATCGACTCATCAATAGGTCCTCATTAACCTGCAGTGCACACCCTCTAATGTCCTATTGTCCCAGCAGGACTTATACCCAGAGCTGAACACTTCAGGCCCACATTTGCTCTCACTACTCTGTGTGTGTGTGTGGGACCTGACTCCTGTGATTCTCCAACAAACAAGATGCAGAACAGGACTGAGAAGTTTGGAGCTCAGCTGCCTCTCTTTGCTCCAGCCAGCAGCTCTCAGCGTGGTCTGCTCAGGAAGAGCACCACCTACCTGGCTAAGATCGCTGTCGTCCTCCAAGACGCTCCAGCCAAGATGCTCACTTTCACACAGGTAAGAAAGAGTCAAGTTGTTTTTAATGACCATGTTTAAGAAGTATGTCATATGGCAAACTAATTGTCATTTTAAAACCTCAACTTGATGTTTTCCAGTTGATGGACAGACTGGCACCATTAATCTCTGAAGATAGAAAATCTGTTGAGAACAACATCAGAGTCTGTTTATCAAGCAACAAATGTTTTGTCAAGGTGAGTTTACATTCTCAATCTTTAACATTTCAAATGAACACAACACATTATTGTAATGAACAACTTAACCTCTGTCTCTAAAACCCCTGTGTTGTGTTTTTCAGATTCCAGTGGTCCCAGATTCTCTGGACAGTAAGAGAAACTACTGGAAACTGGACCACAGTCAGATCACTGCAAAGATGGTGCGTCGTCACTTCAAAGGCATCCTGTTCCTCTTCCCTGAGTTGGCCTCCAAAGTGGAGATGGAGAACACCAGCAGACCATCAGAGCGCTGCTCAGCTCTCCACTCTCCTGAACCTGCAGCCTGCAGAGCTGTTCAGGTCAAATGTGAGGTGAAGTTCAGCAGTCCTTTCTCCATTGAATCCCTCCTGAAGAGAGACAGTCCCTCTGCTCGGGCCTCCAGAGCTTCTCCTCTGTGCAGAGTGCCGGTCAGAGCGGAGCAGCAGCCTCCCTCCACACACAGACCACATGGGACAAAGAGGAGCTTCAGCTGGGACTCTGAGGAGCCTCTCCTCCTTCAAGCTTCAGCTGGAAGTTCCCCCATCTGCTCAGCAGGGGGCAGCACACACCGTGGACTCACTGCTAATGGAGCTGCTCAGCCCATCAAGAGGATGCATGTGTGCTCTCAGTCCTCATTCCCTGTCTGCACAAGAGCCAGTGCTGCTCCTTATTTCACCAGCCCACACAGCGGTTACATCACTTACTCTGTACCAGCATTTACCCATGATGCTCTCTGTTTCTGGCTGTAATGTGTATTGTACCTGGCAGAACGGCTTTTTGGAGCACTTTATGTTTTATAATAAACTGAAAACAAATGAAGCGTTTCGTTATTGTCGATAATCAAGAGGATTGTTGATAAATGCATAAGGTCTTTTTAACAGCGGACATTTTGTCGTCTTAGGAAATGCACAGGTGTTATAATATTAACCTAACTTAGGCATCCCAGTAAGTCATGACACTGACACATGACAGTCAGCACAAGTGGAAAATAAAGCAGCTATATGGAATTCAGACATTATTATTTTCATCTCTGCTTTTCCAAGTGTGACATGTCAAACTGTAATGTTTGTAAAAAGCACACATGGGAGAGGTTTGCCAAGAGGGGTTAAACTATTAATTTGAACCCAAACCACAACTTATTTCCTGCCATTAACTTGGAAAACAATGTCTGGCAAAAATACTGACCTCAGATATGTTGTGGAGTAGAAGTAGCCTGTAAAGTAGCATAAAATGAAAATACTTAAGTACAAATACCTTAAATGTGTGACCTTAAAATGTCAGTGAAATGCTCCTGCAGTCAGAAGAACACAGCAGAGCTTGGGTGATGTGAAAATCATTGGGTTGTCTCCAAAATCTTTCCACCTAAAAGCAGCATTGTTCTTGTTCAATCACCCACATTCCAGTGTTTGTCACCTCGTTTATTAGGAGCTGTTGTCTCTGATTGCAACTTCTTAGTGGAGGGACAAACTGTTTTTGCATCTACTAAATATGCATTATTTTTTTCTGAAACAACAGTGAAGTGCCAACATTTCCACTTGGACCCGTCCTACCAGATTTTATGCAAAAATGTACATTTGTGTCACTCTTATTAAGAAGATGTTGTTTAAGTACATTCAGTTATTGGTCTGAAGTGCTTGATTTGGCCTCCTGAATGAATACTGTCTGGGATATAGTGAGGCAGCATAGCTATGAAAGCCTTCATTTTGTGATTAAAGCACCAAATTTGGCAGATGTGTTGACAAATATATTTAGAACAAATCTGGATATTGGGGCATCAGAAACTCGCCCCCTGGTGGCCAGAGCAGGCAATTGAACCCTACCTGCCCACGGACCCGTCCCGTTAATTGGATCCGCTCCAAAATGTAATGGCTTCTAAGTTGGATCATGCTACATGCCTCCACCTAAAGTGAAAAATATGTTTCATTCTAATGTGGGACAATAGTAAATTAAAGATATCTAACACAATGGTGAGATTTAGGCTAGTTATTTATAAGGCCATTTAACAATGTTACAGTTTGAACATATGATATACCTTGATGCCTTAATAATAGAGCTGTTTTTACAACGAGGCCTTGAATATTATGAGAAAAGATGGAAAATAGGGGGGGAAAACATTCACAGATCACAGTGTCACTGTCACTATTATCAGGAGGCCATTAAATTGGTTGTGGATTATTTAATACTCCTTTTAATCTTCACGTTGAATGCATATTGTCTTCTGTAAATTTTAAACTTTTTCTCATGTGCATTTTGAAAATAGATTTAGTTCAGTTAATTCAGGATATCTGAACACTACAGAGCACAGACCAGTGTAAGTGAAGAAACTGCATAGAGATATCAATGCTGGGTATTTGTAAAAAAAAAAAAAATGCAGATGGCTGCACTAGTTAGATATCCTATGTTCAAACTGTTGCAGTGTAACTGTTAACTGTGAACATTGTAAAATGGCCTTATAAATAACTATAAATCTCACCATTGTGTTGGAGGTCTTTAATTTACTATTGCATTAGAATGAAATGTATTTTTCTCTTTAACTGGTCTCTAAATTATATTTGTGATGCTGAAAACATGGTAACAGCAAAGTGTTTTATTCCAGTATATTAAGCTATAAATGTATGTGTAGTCCAAGCATGGTCCAACTTAGAAGCCATTACATTTTGGAGTGGATCCAATTAACGGGTCCATGGGCAGGTACACTGGCGACAAATGTACATTTTTGCATAAAATCTGGTAGGACGGGTCCAATTGGAAATGTTGGCACTTCACTATTGTCTCAGAAAAAAACTTAATGCATATTTAGTAGATGTACAACCAGTTTGTCCCTCCACTAAAAAGTTGTCATCAGAGACAACAGCTGTCATAAACGAGGTGACAAACACTGGATTGTGGGTGATTGAACAAGAACAATGCTGCTTTTAGGTGGAAAGATTTTTGAAACAACCCAATGATTTTCACATCATCTGCTGACTGCAGGAGCATTTCACTGACATTTTAAGGTCACACATTTAAGGTATTTGTACTTAAGTATTTTCATTTTATGCTACTTTACAGGCTACTTCTACTCCACAACATGTCTGAGGTAAATATTTTTGCCAGACATTGTTTTCCAAGTTAAGGGTTGGGAATAAGTTGTGGTTTGGGTTTAAATATGAACCCCTCTTTGCAAACCTCTCCATGTGTATGGGAGCGGTGCACCTGTGCATTTCCTACAGTGGCAAAATGTCTGCTGTTATAAAGGCCCTTTATTTTTTATTTATTTATAATTTATCTACAATCCTCTTGATTACTAAATATCAATAACCTTATTGACAATAAAAAAGGGCTTCATTTGTTTTCACAGTTTATTATAAAACATAAAGTGCTCCAAAAAGCTGTTCTGCCAGGTACAATACACATTACAGCCAGAAACAGAGAGCATCATGGGTAAATGCTGGTACATAGTAAGTGATGTAACCGCTGTGTGGGCTGGTGAAATAAGGAGCAGCACTGGCTCTTGTGCAGACAGGGAATTAGGACTGAGAGCACACATGCATCCTCTTGATGGGCTGAGCAGCTCCATTAGCAGTGAGTCCACGGTGTGTGCTGCCCCCTGCTGAGCAGATGGGGGAACTTCCAGCTGAAGCTTGAAGGAGGAGAGGCTCCTCAGAGTCCCAGCTGAAGCTCCTCTTTGTCCCATGTGGTCTGTGTGTGTGGAGGGAGGCTGCTGCTCCGCTCTGACCGGCACTCTGCACAGAGGAGAAGCTCTGGAGGCCCGAGCAGAGGGACTGTCTCTCTTCAGGAGGGATTCAATGGAGAAAGGACTGCTGAACTTCACCTCACATTTGACCTGAACAGCTCTGCAGGCTGCAGGTTCAGGAGAGTGGAGAGCTGAGCAGCGCTCTGATGGTCTGCTGGTGTTCTCCGTCTCCACTTTGGAGGCCAGCTCAGGGAAGAGGAGCAGGATGCCTTTGAAGTGACGACGCACCATCTTTGCCGTGATCTGACTGTGGTCCAGTTTCCAGTAGTTTCTCTTACTGTCCAGAGAATCTGGGACCACTGGAATCTGAAAAACACAACACAGGGGTTTTAGAGACAGAGGTTAAGTTGTTCATTATAATAATTTGTTGTGTTCATTTGAAATTTTAAAGATTGAGAATGTAAACTCACCTTGACAAAACATTTGTTGCTTGATAAACAGACTCTGATGTTGTTCTCAACAGATTTTCTGTCTTCAGAGATTAATGGTGCCAGTCTGTCCATCAACTGGAAAACATCAAGTTGAGATTAGAGGTTTTAAAATGACAATTAGTTTGCCATATGACATACTTCTTAAACATGGTCATTAAAAACAACTTGACTCTTTCTTACCTGTGTGAAAGTGAGCATCTTGGCTGGAGCGTCTTGGAGGACGACAGCGATCTTAGCCAGGTAGGTGGTGCTCTTCCTGAGCAGACCTCGCTGAGAGCTGCTGGCTGGAGCAAAGAGAGGCAGCTGAGCTCCAAACTTCTCAGTCCTGTTCTGCATCTTGTTTGTTGGAGAATCACAGGAGTCAGGTCCCACACACACACACACACACACAGAGTAGTGCAATCACAACCTCACTGAGAGCAGATGTGGGCCTGAAGTGTTCAGCTCTGGGTATAAGTCCTGCTGGGACAATAGGACATTAGAGGGTGTGCACTGCAGGTTAATGAGGACCTATTGTTCCTTTAATGAGGTGAAAACATCTGTGGGCCACTGACCACAGGTCCACTTGAACAATTGCTGCTTTTTTGGAAGCCAGTTTCACAGTTATCTGTAAATATAGCCTAAATTATTGGATTTGTGCAAGAATCCCAGCTCATACACTGATCTTAACACAAATTATCAGCTAGTTTCAGTGTGATTAAAATAATATGACTTAAGGTGACACAAGTAAAGGAGCTTGGAAAAATCCTCTTCTGTTTGTTATGTAACTGTCATATTTGCTAAATGTGCATGATAAAGCATATTTAGGCATGAGAGCATGGATGATATTAAGATGTCATGTGTTGATATTCTTCACTGTAAGTTTTGTTTGAATTGTTTTTCGTGAGTGAAAGAAGAATAAGAACAGACGTGTATTGAGACTCAATTTGAATGCACGCAACACATGCACAGGGTATATGTTGCAGTGTCATAGTTACAGAGAATGAACATATTCATATTATTATAGGGCTCATTGTTTGATTATACCAGAACCAGTAACAACCAGTGGGTTTCCTGTGTCAGGTTCACTCACTGAGCCCAGTTTTAGAAACAATAGATCTGTCAAAATGTACAAATATACAAGATAAGAAGTGTTTTCAAGGGGCAAAAGCAAAACCAGTGCCTATTAGAGTAAAAACTGGAGTGAGACAAGCACAAGTGTTACTAAAATCTAACTAAAATGGCAGAAAAGGCTGTCATGAGATCCTGAATCCAGCTGGTTTAAAAGTCCTATAGGCCCACATTGTATCATTTAAATATGTAGATATATGGATCATCTGCTAACATTTTCATTCACAAAACTAATGCACACCTGAGTGACCCATTAGACAAGATCTATTCACATGCACACGACCCTACCTGAGGATTCAGACCTCATTCAGCCATGAAAAGGAGCTCATTAACATGGAATACACAAGGTCCCTCTAATGTCCCATTGAGCTTAAAGGGCTGCTTTAAAGGCCTATAATAATGTAGCACTTCCACATAAGGGTGAGGGTCTACACATTAACAACAACAGTTCTTACACCTTTTTACTTTTGACAGGACAACTCTTCTTCCTATTATTG